CAATGAAGTGAACGACAATCTCCTTTCCGGCATAGAAGCCCCTGACGAGGAAGGGGACTTTGATGTCGAGCTCAGTACCGCTCTTCTTGATGAAAGTAGCGCCCTCGACGCCGATCTTAGGACTGGTGACGCCGCCACCAGTGAGGCCGCTGTACCAGAGGGTGGACTTGCCAGTGTAGTCCTCCTCGACCCAAAAGTTGAAAGCCCAGGAGGCGGCACTGATCATATTGCCGGCGACGACCTTGAAGGCCTTGCGGACATGGGGGGAAGTGAAGACACGCTTCTCGAGAGAGGCGGCATCCTTATCGACGTTGCGGACGGCGACGGCGACGGCGTTGGCGATATCGATACCGATGGGGGTGTTGACGCCCTCGCTCAGGTATTTGACATCTGTAAGTGTGATTTAAGGTTAGCTCCGCTCGATGAACGAATCTCTGCTCATTTCAGGGGATACAGGGTTTGGAGACTGTGTTATGGGATTCATCGGTCTCACCTCTGGACTCGACGACGACGGCAATATTGTCGATGGGGCTGGCAAATACGGCTGAGGTGAAAGTGCTGGCTGCGAGAAGACCAGCGTAAAAGAACTTCATCATAGGGGCCATTTTGAAGACTAAGAAAATAATAATGGGTGGTTGTGTAATTTGATAGACTGGTGCTATTGAGAGTTGAATGAGTAATAGATAATGATTAAACAATTTCTGTGAGACACTAGGTGTCCTCCTTTTATATAAGTTGATACAAAGTCCTAAATTGAAAGATTCCTCCCGCTCCTTTGCGGCCAGTTGATGACATCTGTTTCAAAAACGGACACGTGTATATTGTTTAGATTGTTTCACTCTAAAGCTGCCAAAGCATTGCTTGATCTGCAAAAATGGTTACAACTGCCAATCCAGACATGCCAGCAATCGCTAGTCTCTACTAAAGATTGTGCCTTGTTAGCAAAAAGCTACTTATGTTAACACCTGTTAAATATAAAGTTTGAACTGAAACAAGCTTTTGAGTTTGGAAACAAAGAGAATAACTTACTTTTTATAATAATAACTATTTAAAGTTTAAAACAAAGAGGGCTATATATTATATCTATTTTAGGAAATCAAAGTTATATAAACTATATATTATATAATCTTAAAGTAATTAAGAGGTAAATTATTAAAGGACTTCTTATAATAAAATTATATATATTTTTTTATTATTTTTTTTTAGATCCATAAAACCCCAATCTGTTTATTTCTTCTAAGAGGGAAAGATAATATGCCTGAAGCACGGTCCTCTTGAAGACAACGTGTCTAGAGCACGGTCCTATTAAAGATAACGTGTCTAAAGCAAGGTCCTGAAGACACTAACCTTATAACGGTTAAGACTCTTGCTGACACAGTGGTGTTTAAATAGAAGCATTACAATCTGGGTTAAAGAGACTGTTGGCATTATTTATACTAGAATGTCTTATAAATATAATTTAAGAAGACCTATAGCTTGTATCATAAATTCTAGTATTGTAATAAATCGTCCTTACAGAAAATAACTTATTGCATCTTTACAATTTTATGTCAATTTTTTAACTTCTTTATCCTTAACAGTTTTCCTATTCCTTACCCGGAAAAAAACATGGCCGACAGTAACTTTAGTGGCTTCAATGTTAGCAATAAGTACCACATAGGCTCGATTCTAGGCAGTGGCGCATATGGCATTGTTCGGTATGTTGTAAAATGTCTTATTTCTCGCACTCATACTGACTAGTCGCTACTAGATCTGCTGTTCACAGACCTTCAGGTCAAAAGGTCGCCATCAAGAGAATAGAACTACCCAATATCCCAATATTTTGCTTGAGAGCTCTTCGTGAGATAAAACTCTTAAGACGCATCAGTCACGAGAACATTATATCCATTTTGGATATCGAGAGGCCTTATTGTTATAGCGAATTAACTGAAATATATATAGTCCAGGTAACAAACCCTCCTAGATGTTTTTTTATATTATCTTGAAATCTACCTTATATATTGCATCTTTAATGGTTTTATACTAACTCTATTTCTAACCGCTTAGGAAATAATGGACACAGATTTACATAAAGCTATCAAGTCTCAGCTTCTTACTGATGATCATGGCCAATTTCTGATATATCAGTCATTGTGTGCTTTGAAAGCATTGCACTCTCTCAATATCATCCACCGGGATCTTAAGCCCAGTAACATCCTGCTAAGCGAGGATTGCGACTTAAAAATATGTGATTTTGGACTTTCTCGGAGTACCAAGTCTAGTCACCAATCCCAAGGCTTCATGACCGAATATGTTGTAACTCGGTGGTATCGAGCGCCAGAGCTCATGTGGAGTCCCGGAACATACACTAATGCAATCGATATCTGGTCGCTTGGGTGTATCTTTGCTGAGATCCTCAGGGGCAGGCCTATCTTCCCCGGCAAGCATTGTAAGAGAACTATGTCTTCATGAGCAAAGGAGAACTGCCTTCTCATGAAGAAGCTTAGTTGAATATACGCTGACGTTCTCCGCTTGGTGTAGTTCTTCATCAGCTGTCAACAATTTTCGATATCCTCGGGTCGCCGACAGCTGAATTTTGCCGTTCGATTCGTTCTCCACACGCTCGGAACTACATACTATCTATGCCCTACAAGAGCCCAGTACCATTCCGAGACTTGTTCCCAACAGCGTCGAGTCAAGCGATCGATCTACTTCAAAAGATGTTGACTCTTGATCCTTCCAAGCGTATTACCGCTAAAGAAGCCTTAAAACACCCATATGTTGAAATGTATTATGACCCAGCTGACGAACCAAACATTGCCTTCCATCCAGGCGGGTCGACAGATCTCATTAAGGCTGAGGAAGGTCTATGCTTGGAAGAGATAAAGCGATTGATATCTGAGGAAATAGACGCAATACAAACGCAATCTGAGGGTTATTATTAGGGTAACAAGTAGATAGACACTTATAGAGGCTTTAAAGTTAATTCTTAAAGTTCTGTGACGTCGATTAATTGTTTCTTAAAAAGTAAAATTTATCGCCAATTGGCTTTTCAATATGGGAAGGATAGTCCCAGTGTGATTAATTCTCTTGGCTTAATAACTGCATGTGCCTGTAAGGCAATACATCTCTTTCAGCTACTTAATTGCTATGCATATAAGAGTATTGTCTAATAGCAGATAAGATTATTAATATACTGAAAATGCTCTACTAATTCAATTATAAGTAAAAAGTAGACTCTCTAGTTGAGCTTTCCTCGTTATGTCAGACCCTGATTTCATTTACAGTAATATAAAACGCGGCGTCCTTTCCACAACATTAACACTACATCACAGTACCCCTGGACTGAACTGATCCATGTAAGTCCCAAGGTAGCTCCACGATAGGTACCACTCCTTTGCCAAGTCTGATGAAGCACATCTCATACATGTGATCGGCGAAAGGATGGCCTGAAAGACTGGGAATTCAAGCCTCCCTGGACACACAGAGCATTATGGTAGTCGTCGAGCCCTGATACTGATGCCCATACATCTTGTTCTTGATCTCGTCTAGACTTGTAACCTTGTGGATCTATCCCATAGACATCTCTTGTCGATTTAGATCCAGTGGTTATCACTCTTGAAGGAGGAAAAGAGCCACCTGGCAGCATTTCCTCACTTCTATCGGGAAAGGGTCCTTCTTTTCTGGCAAGCAGAATGTAAGCAACAGGCTCTTTTTCACTTTGAGAAGCCGGAATCATGTTGGCGAAAGTTGATCCAACTTTCGACCAAACAGATTCATGTATGGCATGGTGTGCCTCGCTTCTAATTTCTTTCTGGAAGATTGGTCCAGACATATTCTGGTCAAGTTCCGGCATGTCATGAAGCTGATCGCTGGTTGTTCCATTTCGACATGGCGACAGTCTTGCGGGAGACGCAGAGGGTAGAGAACGGGATTTGTTTCCCTATTCGATAAAGGTTAATTCAGGACGGAAATAAAAAGTGAGAAGATCACGCGACGAATAGACAGTAAATGAAATGCAAAAGCTCGAATAGAGGCGGAGTGAGTCAGTAGTCAAATATAGGTAAGAGTATGTAAAGCAGAAAGAGGAAAACTAAAAAGGTAGGAAGAAATTCACTATAATAAAAACATAAATTACCTGCATAAAATAGTTCTCAAATGTCTCATCTGCTTGTGAAGTTCTTATCGAATGATATCGGTGATGGCGGTTATTTGGCCTCTTGCCTTGGTAGCCTACTTGGGGTAGTAGGGAATGCTGTTCAATGTTGAGATTACGCCCAGTGCTGGGGAAGCCATCATTGTGCGCTGCCTCTGATTCATCGTATGCTGATGACTCAGACCAGATTGGACTGTCGCAACTGTGGCTTGCAGTGGTAGACTCATTCTCGCCCTCAAATGAATCCAAGGTGTCGAGGCATTTCCAAATTTCTTCTATCAGGTCTCAATAATGGATGATGACAACTGCATATTGAATACGTACCGCTATCGTCGGAGATAGACGGAGATGTGGGTCCAGAAAAAGACAAACCGAAATCCACTCGAAGGTCGTCAATGTCTGCCAGCAATGACTCGAGAGAGAAATAAACACT